TTTCGTGAATAAAGTGAAACATTTTGTGTAACTTTATGGGACACTGTCTTGAAGAGAAAAAGAAAACACAGCAATCTCTCCTTCTTTTAGAACACAAATACATAAATTTTAATCTGAGAAAAATACAAAATGAAACCATGTACAAGTTATGTACAAACCCTTTTTACAGGACAATATATTTATCACTGGATATTACATATGACAAAGTCAGGTAGATCATTTCTGAGCACCAGCATTTGTTCTCTCTCACCAAACCATAATGGTAAAAAGTAAAATGATGAAGTCATACTCCTTTTTCTTAATGAACTTTTAAGTTAATATGATAGCTGGTTCTCAGTGTACCCATCGCCACTCCCAAATTATAACTAAATAGACACATGTAGTCATTAAAATATATTGTATATATATATGTCTTTGCTTGTGTGTGTTTTTTCTGAAGGAAGAAAAAAAACCCATTAACCTTGAACTCTACAGAAATGCAAAAGTTAAAGTTATGTCAACTTTTCCTTTTTTTTTTTTATTTTTTTGACAGAAGTGAGATTATTTGCATTGGCTAAGCGTGTGTGTCCCAAGTTATACCATGGCGGAAGCGGCATTTTTTTTAACTGCTACTTAAGGAAAACTGGAGATAACTTCTGCTGATCTTTTCATGTGGTTCCTGTTAGCTATTATCCAGTCAATAAAGTGCTCATATAGCAAATTTTTGGTTTCTAAAAAATCTATGTTTTCTATTACATGTATTCAATTGCCTATATGTTGTATTGTGGGTTGTTTTTTTATTTTCCAGTTATAATAATCTCCTCTAAAATGCAGTGACTGAAGCAGTAAGAACCTTTCTCTCAACCTCACTAAAGTTCTAAGTAGATGCAGCATTACTGTGTTTAGCTTCTTAAGTTAGATATTGTTCTAAATTAGGCTCAAAAATGATAAAACAAGTATTTTATATGTTTTATTTTCTTCGTTCCCTCCTACCCCTTCTCATTTTGACAGTTATCAGCAGTAGACCATTATATAAAACAGATACATCAGACCAGCAGTCCTATTTATTAACTTTAGTGGAATTTACTCAGTTATATAGACTACTGCACATTAAAGACTACACAGTTTTAATGTGGCTGAATGTTCTATAGCAGCAAATATCTGTGCGGAATAGATATATTACTTGTATAAATATAGCTTTGATAAACGCTGGGGCAGAATTGTCAATACCATAGCCCTAAGTACCATCCTAGGCAGTGGCCACAGCTGAACAGCTGCTCCATTCCTTTCATTATTTCAGGTGGGGGCTGTACCCACACCTACTAGTATTGCTCAGTATAAAAGTACTACAATTATTATGCCTGCTAACTAAATATTAGGATACCTATCATATATAATGAATTTAAAGAAAAAAAAAATCCCCTAATTCGAACACCCATAATAAAAATTAAAATTAAAAAAGTCCTTGATCATATATTGGGGATATTGGTAGTTCATATGGCAGGGAGAAGAAAAAAAAATTCTCCTAAATTTTTCTATGCTTCTGCCAATGACTTTGACAGATATTCCCAGGCCAATCCTCGGTAACACAGGGAAAGGATTTCTGTTTTCACTTTGTTCTGTTCATCGCCTTTCACACACTTCGTTATTTTGTTTAAGCAGCTTTAAAACTAGATATGAAAGGTGAGACACACACTTCTTTTGGTGCTAAAGAAATTCACAATGATAACAGCTAAAAAAACCACAACCAAACAAACAAAAAACCAAACCCAAAAAACACCACCACACACACCCTGACCTCAATATGTGCTCATTTCAAATACATTGGGATCCACAAGCCCTTACGCACCTGCTTCTTGATAAAACCATTTAAGCACCTGCTCTGTGTTTAATGTTGAGCCCATGTGAGTCAGCTAGAACAGAGCAGTTGCTAAACTGTTCATGGATTCACCAGTAAGTGATCAAGCAGTGAAAACATGCATAATTGCCTATTTGTAAATTATTGCCCTTTTTTTTTTTTTTTTGTCATGCATTAGTTTATGCATCCAATTATTGCGGTAGTTCTTAGATGTAGTTTATACACACACACCCCTCAACAAAAACAGTCCTCTCTGAATGAGAACATGCTTTTATACTTTGCCCTTTTTCTCCTACTTGATGAAGGGTTCAAGAAATACTGGCCAAAAACCACAACAACCACCTTGCCCGCCACCACCCAACAACTTATAAAAGGCTACAGATAGTACTTTTGTAGTGTCTCTTGTACATTATATGCAAAATACTTTTTTCTCTTTTCCACATTTGGCTGAAGCCAATTAAGTCTTTCAACATCAATGCCACCTGAGTCACTGGGTGGCCTTTTTTTTAAAAATTCAAAAATGGGGAAAAAAAAAAAAAAAAAAAGCTTTAGTGTAGCTAAACCAGCTTCTTGTACAGCCCCAGCAGATACAGCAGCCTGTGAGCTGCTAAGACTCATCAGCTCTTTCAAGACATCTGTGTGGCTTAATAAGGCTACATGGGGTCCTCATTATCCTGAAGCTGTTGGCCTTCACCTTGTATAAGCAGCACTGTGTTTCCCATCAAAGATTAATTGGAAATTCATCAGTTCTGGGTTTTGGGCTTGCAGGGTCCCTTTGTGTTACAGGTGGAATAACGAGGTTGCCCATGAGCCTGTAGTACTGAACATTGATCGTGCCCCAGATCAAGGGCTTTGCACTTTCAGCCACACGTAGGTCCTGCTGTTTGGCCATCAATGCTGGTTTGAAAGAAGAGCTGTTAAAAGGGAGGTGACAGCTTTAGAAAGTTTTTGAAAAGTAAAAGAAACGTTTGCGCTTTTTTCTCCTTCCTATTACTAAATACGTTGTATAGATGATAATCTCACGAGCAACAGTAAGACAATCATATTGAGGCCTTTAAAAAGTCTCATTTAGACGTTGAAAGTCTTCTTTTCTTTACACTTTCAATTTTATTGTGCTTGGCACTTGCCACCCAAACACCACCTTGTTGGAGGACAGTTTGGGTCTTTCATCTTGTAGTGCTCATGGGCTTCAGGGGACAAATTAAAACAATAGCCACAAGACAGCAGACTTTCTGGCAAAGTGGGAGCAGCACGTGCATGGGTGAGAGGAGGGGCCAGGGCCAGACTCCTGCTTCAGCAGAGAGAGAGAGGTTTCTGCACTCTACTGTCAGTGCACAGGGAATAGAAGAGCAGGTGGGGCTGCTTTTTGGTCAAATGAGGAGGAAACTGCAGGTATGATGCCTCCGTGTGCTAGCCCCAAGTCAAATATTTTCTTTTTCTCTTTCTTCACCACCACCCCCTCCCAAAAAAATATGATCACCTTGTGATGACTCCGTATCAAATACATCCCCTTTTTTAATATATAGATCTATGCATGTATATATCCACACATACATTTACGTGTGGATGTGCATATATGCAAACACACAGGCACACTCTCCGTCCAACACGAGTCACCAAAAAAAAAATTGTTTAGCTGGAATTAATTGTGCATGGAATTAATAAAAAACCTGAAATTTCTTTTTTTTTTTTTTTTTTTTTGTCCTTTTGAGAAAAAAATAAATATTATTAATAAAGATCAAAACCTGATTTCTACATCAGCCATCGTGTGGTCTGGCAGCTGTCACTTAGGCCACTTGCCTTGATATAACTGCATATATCCAAGTAATAGTGCTGGCCTTATGGTAGTCTTTAATGGCTGAGTGTCAAAGATGTCCCACAGGTTTTCTACATATTCCTCCATCTAATTGCCAGAAGCCAATCCAGTGTCTTTGATCATCAAAAAGAGGAGTAAGAAAAGATTACTGATATATGATTTTCCATAAATGGAAAATACAAAACCATAAGTATATCTGTTTCCTCCCTGTCTCGCTTGCTCCTGCAGGTGTTGTTCTGTCTGTCGTTACATATGGAACTACCTGTGCATGAGTGTATTCAGGTCTTGCCCTTTGGCAGTTGGCAGCATGGGATTTTTTTGGGTGTAACAGTAGTTAAACTGGACAGAGACACACACAAACCTTAGCTATATGTAGGAGTGTCGTATTTGATTCATTACTGTGGTTTACCCCGTGAATGCTCACTTCTGAAGGCAGGACACTAAGAAACGGCACTGTATATGGTAAAGTATAAGACATAATGTTCTATGCCCTGATAGTAAACAAAGGTCTTCTATGAAAAAAAAAAATAATAAAATTCACATGTATCTGGTGAAGTTGAACAGAAATTTCAAAAATTCTCCTGTACTCAGGACCAGCTTTTTTTGACCCCAGTTATAATATGATCACAGTTCATAAATGAAAAAGGAGCACTGACTTCAAAGTAAAGGCTTAACATGACCCAACGCAGAAACTGGATGCAGATTATAACGTGTCACTAGCTGAAGCAGCAGAGATCGGAAGAACTCACCAGAATCGTCTTCTGTTTTGGGGACTGTGAAATGGGTTAAAGTGGTCGAAATAATAATGGAAAACTGCTTAAATCGTTTTGTTACTTTGTAGGAGAGTGTGAAATATTTTAAACAATCCAATTTTACAGATACTGTATTAACAATTCTTGTTATTGTCTTTAAATAGCTATTCTACAAAATGTAACAACAAAGTAGTCACAGTCCAAGAAGTCACTCCAGAATAAAGCCTATTAGGTGTTAGTATGGTTATAGTTGTACTGCAGCCAGTGGACGAACATTAAAGCTGAGATAGTTTAGCTTAAATGTTGGATTATATAGTGGACATCATTGTTTTCACAATAAATTCATCTGCTTTGTATTTGTTTGATTCACTGATATTTCTCTAATGATAGAAGTACCACAGTATGTTTTATTGTGGTGTTTAACAATTCTGCAAAGTTACAAAGCCTAAAGTGTACTTGCACAATGAAGCCTGCCTTTCCTGACGACTGGGTCCTAGGATTTTGTTTTAATCCTTATTAGCACAGCCTTTTCTTTTTCTTTTTTTTTTTTTTTTTTTTTTTCACAAAATTGTGTCATTTGTTTCTACCTCATCCCTTTTTTTTTTTTTTTTTTTTTTTTTTTTTTTATTCACACAATTGTGTCAGATGTTGCTAATTTGAGATAGAGAGAGTTACTAAATCCTTTAGAACATCAAATGCTTGGGTGGATAGATACTGCAGCACAGATATGAAACATCACATTTTTGTCTGATGGCTATAAAGCTCATTGGCAACTTTGTGAAACTGCTGACACAAAAGGCACCCATCCAAGGCCTTTTGTAAATTATCATAATAAATACATTCATTACTTTTATTTTAATTTGGTTATTACTGTACTTTTATGTGTGGTGTCCCAGCAAAGTGAAAATAAATAAATAAATAAAATAAAAGCAACTGCTAGGCTAAGATGTTGCTTGGTGCAGGAATTAACTGAGAACAGCACATTGTGAGAATATAGAGCTGAGGCTAAACCAGTTTTTATCCTGAACTCACCAAAAGGAGGTTCAGTGTGCCTTTTACCAAGGTATGAGCTGTCACCAAAGTGCAAAGATCTGGAGTTAAACCTCTGTGCATATCAGGAAAAATCTGAACCAAATAAACAAACCTGATGCAAGGCCATCAGCACTTTTGACGTAAGGAACCAACAAAATATGGTAGATGAGAAGGTTTGTAACATGATTTCATGCACTATTTATGCACTCTGGATTAAAGCATTGTAATACATGGCAAAAGAAGAGGAATTGCCAAGTTCACCTTCCTGAAATTAGGCAAAAGACTAATGGGAAGTGGCATGGAATTGCCAGATTTGCCATTTATAGGAAGTGCTGCCTATGAGCATCTTATCTACTTGGCCCTCGTTTTATGGTAGTGATTTTCACTACTCTGGTGTCACAGAAAGTTACTGAGGATGCTGGGCTTGTGGGTGTGTGCACATAGAGGGCAGGGGACACACTGTGTGTGTGTGTGTGTGTTTGTGTGTGTGTGTGTATTAGTTATTGGACCTTAACATAACTGGTGACTAAGGTGATCTGTATATGGTAATAAAACAAAGAATACTTCAGAAGAATGTTACATGTACAAAAATATGACTTTCAACTTTGAAAATAAATAAGTTCAGTTTATTAAGAGCTGGTGTCAATGCTGAACAAAATACATATCCTCCAGTAAAGAAACATTTCGGTGATTTTTTTTTCTTCTTTTTTTTGTTTTTTTGATTTACTAAAATACAAGTTGGACCTTTTTTTTCTTTTTGTAAATATATCATTTGCCTCCCTTAATTACATGTCCTTATAACTGTGACCATCATTCTCCTTTAAGCCAAAAACTGAGGTTTATTTTTTTAAATTCCTAGGAGTCTGGCCACATCTGCAGTTTTTTTCTTTTTTAAGGGAAAATACTTGACAATGAAAAAAAAAGAAAAATATATTTTTTTTCTAATAAATAAAAATAATTTAAAATGCTAGAGGCTATACATGACTAGTTTTGATTATGTTCATTTATAAATGAAATATTTTCCAAAATACGTGGAAGCAATATTAAAGGCAGACAAACAAAGATCTGTCTACTTTATTTTCCCATTAAGCTTGCCCTTCTTAACTTCTCCATCAGTGGTTCAGCATGTAAGAGGAATAAATGTCACATCACCATTCATGAAGTTTGTCAGGCTTTAAAAAAATAGTTCTGGCCTCGAAGGAGTCAACATTCATCTTCAACTTCTCTGATTGGTGGTATCAAGCTGCTTGTCGATTTATATTGATTGATCTGATTGGCCATGTGAGTGCTCATGGGCTTGATTTGAATGTTTCTGGGATAGGCATTATCCGGTTCATCTGTAAACCATTTCTTTTCTGCTAAGGAGCAAAATGGGTAGAGACAGAATAAGGAGGGAAAATGAGAGTTTTAATTAGTGAAGCACATATACACATCAACACAAAAAAAAAAAAAAAATAAGGAGGAGGGGGAAGCAGTCAGTAAAGTTTATAGAGAAAAAGCAATCAATAGAAGGTGACTTTGACTAATTACAAGCAGTACAGTGCATTAGATTAATACCTCTGAAAATACTTTTCATGAAAGGAGGATGACATGTTTGCAGATTTGATAGTAGAAGCTAAAGAAAACTGTCAATATGCTAGTTTGCTTGTTGAATGCAAGAGAGCTCTTTTTTTTTTTCTTTCATGCTCAGGTGAACACCCTCTGAATCATTTATTGAAAAAATGATACAAATGAAGGGCTAAACTGAGAAGCCAGGAAGAGCAGCTGGGGTAAGGTTAATGCAGAAAAGAGCACGTGAGTCCTTATGGAGAGGAGCACCTAAAGAGTGAGGGGCTTCTCTGAACCATTTCAGCCTCAGGGTGGTCGCTGCTGCTGGCTCAGAAATCGTGCAGGAGAACGTAAAGAAGAACTTTCCACGGTTGGTACTAGAAGAAATAAGGCTTGCATTCATGCTGCCAGATGGCTGTGTTCCTGCACGGGATGGCCAGTATTTGCTACTTAGCAACCTGGCTGCCTGGGTGCTGCTGAATGCTCCAGTTTGGGAGGGAGTATGGAACATACCTGATGCTGACTGTATCAAGGGCTCATTTGTCCTGAATGGATTGGTAGCGATACGTGACAGTAGGCAACATAAGCAAGGACTTAAATGAATATTAGAAGGGAAGTTGTTCTTTTTGTATCTTTGGGTAGTGTCTGTTTCCATGAACATAGGAAGAATTTTATGGTACTGATTTAAGATGGGCTTTGAGCAATGATGTGGAAGGGAATGAGGATGCTGAGAGACTGCAGCATTGCCACCGGTCCCCAGCTGCTTGTGATTGTAACCACTATATTGCATGGTTCATAGGCAGAGGTGGACAAAAACATCTTAAAATTCACAAAAGAAAAAAAAAATCAAAAGTATTCTCTCTTCAGAGAGCAATAACTGCTGTCATTTCTTAATTACAGGTGTGCAACTTTACAAGATACCTCCATTCAAAGACTTAGAAGCTCCTGGTGTTAGAGTGCCTCATGGCCATTAGGTCCTTGTGCTTTGAAAGCATTTGTGAACATGCAAGGTTTAACGTGTGGCACGTCACAGCTGCTGCTCTCACATGTATGCACTACTCATTCCAATGGGGAACCCAAAATTCTTCAGAAGCTTCAGTGTCTCGCTTGCATAATACAAACTGCCACTTTTGCTTACCACTGAAATGCTGCCACATCTGGGTTAGAATCAGGACAGGAGTGGAAGGAGTACTCATTTTAAATAAATAAACAAATTGAAAAAAAATAAGCAAAACAAAATCCACCTTGGAAAGCCAAGGATCGAGCACAAAAGCTCAGGAGGTGAAACACAGAAAAGAAACTGGAAGACCAGGAAGAATAAAGGACAAATATCTGGGCATAAACACGTAACAATAAACAACTAGCTTTGGAGGTAGGGCATCTAAAGAAGTGGACTGATTTCCAGAAATACTAGTCTTCTCAGTCACTTTTGTGAAGATGAAATTTAAATACCTGATACGGATTTTGAGCATCTGCATGCAACACCACCCGACTCCCCCAACAACAAACCCCAAACTTTTGGGGGTTGCATCCATCTTTTTTTTTTTTTCAGATACATTTGTTACCTGTACTTATGCTTTTTAAAAAAAAAAATCGTATTAATCATTAGTTGTTTATTACTGAAAGTGTTTACACCTATTACAACACAACTACTATGCTGTTATTCTTGCCATTTGTTAAAATGTTTTTAACTTCTTCTTAAAATATCCTACTCCTTTGCAACCAGGGTAAATACCTCCCTGCCCCCTTAAAGTTGCCTGAGTCTGAACAATGTTCAATCTCCCATCTCTCTCTCTCTTACCTATTATAATTAAGTTCCTTTTGATTTGAACAGATTGGACGATAGGAATTCATAATGTTACATCCTGCACACTGAAGCTAACTGATTAAGTGCTTTAAATTATTCTTCCTGACAGAATGATAAAGTTACAATCTGTTCAGAGATGATCTACAGCTTGCCAGACTCCTACCGCTTCTTTCTACATTCATTTATCTCTTTGTCAAGCAGTTAAAAAAAAAAAAAAAAGCCTCAATTCCATAGATCTTTTAAAGTCATCAGAACATCTGAATTATTAATGAGACTTTAAGGGAATGGTTCCTGATGGGGGCTGGTTTAAGAAAGGTTGTAGGAAAAAAAAATCTGGGAATGCGTACACATCAAAATAATTTCAGCTCCATTTAAAAAACCATTTAGTTCAAGTGTGACACATGAACCATTATGCATTTGTGGAAACCAATTTTATGTGATCTACGATTAAACTAACCTTTCAGAGAGGTGTAAAGTGTGATGGTTATCATGTTTTAAAAGCCTTGCAAGATCACATAAACAATTTCAAACTAACAGTTTTCTAATGGTTTGTGTTTAAAATGATTTTGAGGCAAGCTAAGCACCGTGAACTTTTATCTCTACCTTCTTTTTTAACATATGGTGCACAAACTTTCCTTACAAACAGAACTTGGTGCAAGTTAATTCAATCTCGTAGCAAGAAAGGGGAGAAGAGCATGATTACTAAGGATCAGGGATGAACTGCGCTGTATTTCTCAGCACTGTATTTCCCAGTGTAAAGCACTTCCAATTTTATATATGTTAATCTTTACAATAAAACTCATATTCAGGGAGATTATCTTTAAAAAGACACCATCGAGCCTCTTTTTTCCCTTTACTTGCCAAATAATAAATACAGAAAATAAATAATAAATGCAGAAAGTGGTAGAATCTAATTTCTTTTGCTGCTTAAATTTCCTTTCACCAGTGCTGTAACCTTGGTCCAGGCATTATCATCTCCAGCAGCAAATGCTTGGACCCAGCTTTATACCTTTCCTTTTCCTTTTCTGCTCTTAAAATTGTCTTTGACCACATAATGATGAGTCTCCTGTGAAAGTCCATCAACCTCTACACTTACCTTTGAAATGTGAGCTTGACGCTCCTCATCTTTACGCTTGGCTACTAAGATATTCTGCTCCCAGCTACTAAATGTCCTTCTTGAATCCCTTACGCACTTTTCAATCTTTTTTGTTATGACTTTGGTATGTCTTCTATAGGCTTAGCATGAATTTATATGTATCTTAAACAAACTATTTACTCTTTCCTTTAAATCAGTCCAGAAAACCTTTTTTTTTAAGTCTTCATACATTGTTATATTCAACAACTTTTTTTTAGTTCTCTGTCATGTTCAGTCTGTTTGTCTCCCTTTTGGCATATGCATATTGATCCTTACCATATGTGTTTCTACGCTATAGTCAGTACAGGCATAGTTTTCTGATTTTTTTTTCTTTTCTTTTTTTTTTTTTTTAAGAGCTGTTCAAGAGAGTCCCTGAGAGAGTCCCACTACTCGATGGGTTTGTTTTTGACAGCATCACCTGAGAGATGTTGGAAAAGTTAAGTAACTTCATGTATCAGAAAGCAGAAAACATTTACTTTCCTCTCAAGCACCTGTGTTTGCAATGGACTATCAGTATCTCAGTGCATCCATGAAGGTTCTAAAGGCATCATGCTCTTATTACAAATAAATAAGAATTAACATCTTGTGTAATGTTCCCTGCAGCATAAGAAGATATAAATAATTAAAGTAAAATTATCAAAATACAGATTTCTTCAACTTGTGTAAGACTAGCAATTCTCTCCAACATATTTATTGTACCGGTGCTTTAAAATTTCTGTTATTAATCCTGGACTGAGTAATCACATTCAAATAAATGTCACTGTGAAAGACCCTCTCTTCTGAGCAGAGTCAAAGAAAATACTAGCTAAACATGACACAAAGATTTCCTAAATCTGTATTCTCACCATAATCCCAGGTTACCTTACAATTGTTTTAAAGGTGCATTTTTTTTCTTCTTTGACACCTGCAGTTTCAAATGAGTCTGTATATATGTGTTCGTGTCCCTCCCCCCTCCACACAAGCAGCTTGTTTATAGCTAAGCTGAAAATTGTCCCATACAATTTGCTCCTGCATGAGAAAAAAGTAACAAAAGTTTCTCCACCCACCTCCTCAGCAATTCTTTGTTTGGCAGATGAATATTTTATATGTAACAGGCATTAAGTAATGTACAGGAAGAGAGAGAAGAAACTATTCTTACTTTCTGTGAAGTTCTCTATTTTGCTTCAAGGAAACTAAAGTTTGGGGACAAAAATGCTATTCGGGACATGCTCTTGTTGATTTTTAATTTTTTAAGCTAGCTAAAGCCTCACTTTTGACAATGGGAATTTCACTGGAACATGCCTGACTCTGTCAGTTTAGGCCAGTGGGAACCCAAGGCAAGAACCTGCAGGTTTGCTAGATGTGATTTTGTGTCAACACTCAGACCAACAAAGTTACTAAGAACCTTGTTTCTATTGCTGAAACCATGCTGGGACTGCAAAAAGTGGCAGGACCCCCATTTAAAGCTTTAATATCTCACCTCTTGACATTAGTGTTGCTTTTCCACTTTCAAAAACTAACGAGGGTAGTTACTGAGAATATTTGATTTGGGATAGGTTTCCAAACAAATGGAAAGGTTCCTGCTACTTTTCAAGATAACAAACGTTGACAACATAACATTCCTCTACTTGAAAGGACCAACTTCCCAATTTCATTAGTATACCCATATCAGAAAATCTTCATCACTTTAATAAACTATTTGATCAATTTGACTATAGTTAGCAGTGAAAATTGCACACGGTATAACTAGAAGTCAAAACTTTAAGACTTCTGACTTTAGGACAGAAGATGGAGAAGAGTTAGAATTCAATATGATTTGAAGAATTCAGATTTTCATCTATATGAGTTAATCCTCTTCCATTGCTCACAAAATAAGTCACTTCACTAATGTACATTTTTTTCTATTTGAGCTGCACAGTTATACAAATACTATTTTTTTGGATAAAATCATTATGTAGTATGTGACAAGTGGCTTCATATTAACACCCTTCCTTCCTCTGCTAAATGGAAAGCAGATAAAACATTAATGGAAAAGCATTTTGGTGTCAAAGCCATTAACATTCTTCCAAAATGCATAACTGCTCTCGACTATCTTCAGTCAATATTGCCAACATAAAAAGATGCTCATGAACATACACAGGGGACAGGGGAATAGGGAGGGGAAAGCAGGAAAGGAATTGGAATGAGGAATGTGAAATTAAAGTAATGTCTGCACCAGGGTAGGCATCTTCATTGAGCAGGAACCTGGGTGTTTCCAAAAGGACACGTGCAATTAGAAAGGCAAGCAGATGAGAGGATAAAAAATAAAATAGGGTTGAGCAACAGCAGCAGCAGCAGCAGCAGCCAGTTTTACTTCTGGTTTGGAGGGGAAAAAAGGCAAAAGAAAACCAACAAAACAATCAACCAAACAAACAAACCAATAACTGAATAAAGTTTGTAACTAATTTTTTTTTTTAATTTCACAAGTTTTCACAAGGACAAAGTTATAGAAGGAAACCCACAGCAGTTGCTAGGTCATGCAGAACCATTAATTGTCATACCTTGGCCCATTCTATTCATCCTTGTTGCACTTTAGAAAAAGAAGTAAGCTATGTAAGTTTTACAATGCTTTTAAACTGTCATATTTCCTGTTGAGCACTTTAACTGGCACATCCTTGTAGTAATAAATATTCTTGGGGCAAAACATGGTAACTTTCTTTCCAAAAAGAAACACATTAATTTGTCTTTACGATGAAGAGCAACTGTAATAGACTCATTTGTAGGGAAACATCCGTAATTTGCAACGTATTTCACTGATAGGATTTACAGCTGCATTTGAACGTACAGACACATATATACTGTATTCCAATCATTATGCTTAACACTGCGCAGTGGTACTTTCTGTAGCCCACTTATATTGTTCCAGGTTTTGTCAGTAAAAGTGCTTGGCTTCATTGTCAATTCACACAGCAAGCAAATCTTCAAAATTATCATGCTTGGGGAAGGGAAAGGAAGAAAACAACACTAACCATAAAAGCACCTTGTCTGGGTTGGCAGTTACAATGCTAATCACTCCCACATCCAAATATTTATTTTCTGTCTGCATGCTTTCTTGCTGGGCAGCCAGGGAAGGTGGCATGTGTTTCTGGCCTCCCTACCCTGGAAAACTCTTCGTATCACCTAGAACTAGTTCTATATTTCAAAAGGCTGGCATTTGAAATTAAAAAAAAAAACAACAAGCTTGAAGTATCATTTCTATGGCTGTCTAGGATAGGTTCCTCTCCACTACTTTAGTCCCCTGCCACAATTTTTGTTTGCCTAGGTGTGCCATCGGTGAGAATCTGCAAGAACCAGACTCCGGCAAGTGCCTAGAACATGATGCCTTAGCAAAGTAAATATTTCCACCTCAGCCCTCTTGTTCAGCTCATCAGCTGTCCAGGGCACAGCACCTTTTCTTCCCAAACGGGAGAGACCTTAAAGGCACTCGGTTGTCTTCCCCTGTATTCCTGCCTATTGGCAGGCACCTGTGGAAAAGAACCAGCTAGAACTTGAAGCAGGATTTCTGGAGGATCTTCGGATATTAGGACTCTCGTTGGAAGATTTATACCACCACTCTAACTTGGAAAAGTTAAACTACCATCTGGGGAAAGGAACAAAGTCCCTTGAGATCTGATACTTAAGCATAGAAAAATGCTTGCTCTTTTCTGAACATTATTTATTCTGTACATAAGGTGACTAATTCACCTTTTAAAGATGTAAAAGTCCCAGGAAGGCAGTTTTTAATGACTTACATCCAATATTTATGATACATATGGCTTTTTATCCCAAATGTCAAAAGTGAAAGAAAATATAGCTATTCATGTGGCAGTATAAATAGACAGAATAATAATTTAATATGCAATTAGACTCTTTCTAAACTTAAATTAAACCATTGGAGTTTTACAACTCCATGCCCAGACAACTTCAGTGTTAAAGGGAAACGACACTATCTCCAAAAGGCTAGTATTTTAGAGAAAGTCCTTAAACAAGCAGAAAAGTCCCTGATGTTGCTTTGGTATAAAGAAGGTGCGTAGCAATAATCTATACAGAGTGTAAGCCCTATACAATATAAGCTTTGAGAGTGAAAAATCAGTAGGGTTTTTTTGTTGTTTTTGCTGTTGTTGTTGTTGTTTCAGGGGGTTTTTTTTGGTTTTTTGTTGTTTTTTTTTTTTAAATGGGTTAGTTTTATAAGCTTCAAATAAATGTAACAACTCCTGTAAATATGAATATAAAAAAACCTACCGCATCACATCTGCACTAAATGACTTTCTTTGTGTAACTGACATCAAGAGCAAGTGTTCATGTTAAATATACTCTGCTTTCTGATATGTAGAGTAACTGCAGTGAGTTATTTATGTTTTCAGTGTGCCTATGGGTTTAGAATTTTTTTTCTCCCCTAGCATCATAAATAACTTTTGGTCCGTCTGCTTTGTTGCTGTTGTGCTTAAGGGTTTTATGGTGGTGAAATAAAAATGACAATCACATGCACACTGTCATACATATGCAAAATATGTGTACAAAAAGGGAGAACTCCATGGGAAAACAGGGAACATTACTGCTGGAAACATTAACTGGGGAGAATGGGTGGTGAATGCAAGTTTCACACACAGTGGGAGCAGGTACACATATCAAAGTCTATCTTCCTGCACATACTTCTGTTTTTCCCGGGAATCCCTGGTCTTGGGGCGGTTCGGTCGGTTTGCTGTTGATGGGATGGAGTGAACTGATGAGCTCTTCTTACTGGAAGAATAGGAGGAATGGGAGGAATGAGAAAGACTGGCCCGGGACTGGCCAGCGTTGTGGTCAAATTGCATCAAACAGAAGATCAAGTCTGTCGGCACAAGCTCAAATTCATACGGTGGGTTTGTGATAACATAACTGGAAAGAAAGCAAGAAAGAAAGAAAGAGAAAGCAAGTTTAGCTTATACTTTAAAAAATTCTTCTAGAGTTGTTATCTCATAAACATTTGCCCAGATTTTTGCATTTCTGTTTCCTTCAGTGTGTACCTAATTTTAGCTCACATAATACCCATTATGATTTAGGACCTTCTTATGTCAGACATCACTTTTTGTATGTTTTCTGTTGCACAGGAATAGTGTCTGAATAGGATGTTCTTCAAGTGAGTCACGTCATGATTTTTCAGAGAAGACACCATACAAATCACCCTCCTTTCTCTAGCTGCACTGTAGTGCAATGACTCTAGCAAACAGATTCACATATTGACAAAAACCAGTAACATACCCACCAGCAACAGTATTTAAAGAATGGCTGAAAAGCAGGGAGAGGAGGATTTTAGACAGTTATATTTAACTACATATTTGCTTTACATTTATTAAATATTTAAATACTGAAACCCTACCTTCAACTAACTCCCTTTCAGGGCATGAAGGGCTTAGAGACCCTGCTGCTAATTTTTTTCCTATATGTGAAAAACATATTTGAGCAAGGCAATAGAAATTTTCTCTCCAAGCCAGAAATGAGTAAAAATTGATCACGAAGCTCACAACTTCTTTCCAAATTAATCCAGTGCTCATAAGAAATCTGGCTTAGCTGCCTCAGGGACAGAAGTCACTTATTAATCCAACAAATAATCCCAAGTATAGCAAGTACGGTACAAATCTAAACTGAAAATCATTTTTTCTACCCAATTTGTCCAAATCCTTACAGAAGAAACAGCTTTGGTGGGCTGCAGGGTTGTTTATTGCTGTGTTCACTCAATAATGATGCCTTTCGTCGAGAATGAAACTAACAGATGGTAGATTTGTGATAGTTCTGGTATGGGTCTGTGTGTGTATTTCTAGTAGGCACTTAATCAAGACACATTTCAAATAAGCTGCTAAATGGCCTTCAGTTTGCAAAGATGGAAATGTGGCTCCTCTATTTAAAGCCCTGAGGTCAGCCTTGGTGCTGCTGAAGTAAAAATGCAGCTTACTAAGAGAAAGGTTTCCATTTACTGGAAGAAATTATTATTAGACACACATAGTACCAATGGGAAGCCCACAGGAGTATTTTCTGAGCATCAAGAAAAAAGAAAGTCTAAGCACTATAATCTAAGTATCATCCAGTAACTTACAGCAAACTGAAGACCTTTTGTTGTATGCAAGCAGTGGATCATCATAAATCAAACAAGATAAAGATATGTTCTGAAAGTTAACTTTGAAATGTTTTTATTAAAATTAGCTGAAAATTTATGCTATGATAACCAGCCTATGATTTAAACTCAGCTAAAGAGTCATCATGAAGTCCTCAAAGAGTTAGCTTTTGTGGCAGTTATGTAAAAAATGGAGTAAGCTCTTTTTCAGATCTATTACAGGCACTGGATCTTCCTCACCAAGAAGACTGAAGAACAGTGAAGCAGAGATGTTCTAAAAGACTGGGCTTACCGTTTAGTGCATTGGCTGGGAGTACTTAAATGTGCATCCCTTAATCGATAAATTCCAAAGCAAAGCATATTGTATGTTTTCAGTGCTTTACAAAATAGATCTCCATAACAACCTCCGTCCTAGGAGAAAGGAGAGGGAAAAAAGAAAAAAAAAAAAAGAAAGAGATAACAGCACATTTTTTTCCTTTCTTTTCTCTGTTAACACAATGTCAGGGAACAGGATTTTCAGTAGGAGCCCGTACAAAAAGGGCAATGCTTAGACAGTCTGTTGTTTGTCACAAATAGAATCTTTTACCCAAGGAAATGAATAATCTAAAAGTTTTATTTCGAATAAGTAATTATGTAAAGTGATCATTATTTTGCAGAGCCTTGGTCCATGAAATGATGGAAAATTGGGAACAGTGAGTGATTTGTTTTATACTAGAAATACCAATTTTTGTACGAAACAATGCATATTCTACAAATTACATTAACTGTGGTATTAAAATTTTTGGTATTTTTGACCCTTTTTTGGAAGTAGCCATACTGTCATCTAGATAAATAAATTCACTGGGGAGCACAACAGAAATTCTTGTTCTGATAGGTTAAATGGATAATAAAATATCTCTCACTTTAAAATAATGATGAAATGTATGTAATTTTTCATAAATAAAGTGTTTTGATTAGCAAAAAAAAAAGTTTAGATTTGATAATTTGTATATCTAAAATATTGATTCTTAAGTGTTAATGTATTCTACCATCACTGGTGTACGCAAGTGAGGCTCTGGCGAAATACATTTGAAAGATTGGTACTGGTTGTTCTATTTGCAAAAACGTTACACCACATACATGCCCAGGTGTTTTGACGAGCTCTTAGTCTCAGCTGTGAATGGACTTCTGCATGAACTAGAAGCCTGTTTACTTCTTTGCATGTATTCTCATCACCCTTAATCCTTAACCTGGGATTCCCTGTCATTTCTGTGAAGAAGGTCGCTCCATTTGTTTGGAATGGAGCAAGGTTACTTTAAGAAATATCAAATCCTACATCATTATCATCATCAAAGTGAAGTGGGTGCTTTGGGATTTGCCTCAAGATTACAAGATTTGGTCCAGAAAAAATTTCTAGATACATCTTTATCTAAATGCACCATTTTTTAAAGTTGGCTTGTTAATTTGGTTTTGGTTTGGGATTTTTTTTTACTTCCCTCTTTGGATAGTGGAGTCAAAATGTCAAAAAATTAGGATTTCACAAGAATTTCAGTTCATCCAGAGACAGCAGAAAACAAACCTTATATCTTGGTTTTCAAGCTAATAAGCATATTTTAAGCAAGAACTGGAAACTCCATGGAAGGACTAAATAAGCTTATCAAAACACAACAAAGGTATAGATATTGCTGATGTTTGCAATGGATTATTATTAGAATGGTTACATTATCCAAGTCATTCATTTCTTTAGCTGACAACTAAGAAGAGCCACAGGATTTTCTGTCTGGAATATCCAGGCAAGGAGCCTAGGAAGTCATGTAGCTTCTTAAAAAGGGTAAGAGCAAATCTGGCACCCTGTGCTGTAAATTGCCAAATGATCCAAAAATCCCTATTAAATTAAACAAGAGAATTAAGATAGATTTTTAATTCAGTGTGAGAAAACAAATAGACTGCAGACCAGCCTTGGTCCTGCGTTTCCCTCATGATCTTACCCCTAGGTCTGCGAACGGCCCATCATACAAAGCCAACTGAGCAACTCGACACCTGTCCCTGTTTGCAAGTGTCTGGGGCGTGCTGTAACCTCCTCTCAACGCATTTTCCTCAGCAATCAGTGCTTCCAGCTCTGGTGTGGCTCCTCCTGTTACCAATGTCCGTATCAGTGTGAGGATATTGTCATTGAAGTATGTCTGCAGAGATAAAAGAAAGCTCTTTAAGCAAACACCATTAAAGTCACAACTGAAGACATCCAAATTACAACTTTTCTGGGTTTCTGCTGTTTAAAGTTCTTGGCTGTCTCTTCAAATAATTTTATATAGAAAGTGAAAAGACAGCAGCCTCCAATTACTCTATTTTCTTCTATCCCATTAGGCTCCTATACTAGATCCTTCCTTTTAAACACCAATTCAGGCTGATTTTTATTAAAGTACAAAAATTTGAATGATTTATGTTTCCTATAATTGGTGTTAGTAGTGATGCAATGACTGCTTTCCTTCTCATTGCCTTCATGTCTAATAATGGGCTTTAGGACATGTAATTGTAAAATTCAGACCACATTTAAAGCTTACACAGGCTAGATTGCCTTTTTACTCTTGTCACCAATTCGTTGGGGAGCTGCCTTTGTGCTGCAAATGTCATTACTTATTACTGTGGCTGGACTCTAGCAGTCTAACCGATGTATTGTACTAAACATCTTATTACGAGACTTGACAGTGTTCAGACATAAGCATGTATCAATTAAACATCTTGAGTTCATTCCAGATAAATGTATGATGAGTTTGGGATCCTGGTGGTCCTTTTAAAAAACTCTAGGGTATAGGGTAAGTGTGGTTTATTAGGGAAGATTTACTCCACACTGACATTTTGCCAGCATCTGTAGCATTGCTGGTCTGTCAGGCAAACAATGGGTATTTTAAATATTAATTTAATGCCAGATGAATGACTTTCAAGTTCACTTAAAAGTATACTGGTGTAGTTCAGAGATACTCAGTTAAATATCAGCAATGTAATGTACTGGGCAAAAAATAATGTTGAACAAAAAAAGGAGACACCGTCACTTTCAATGTCACTAATGTTTGTGTTTTCAGAAGCTTTGCAAGTGTGGGGGACACACGAGAAGGAAATGAGCTCACTGTACAGTGCACAGGATTGGCATTACTGGATTTGTGGATTCTATTACTAGATTTGGGATTTTTGTTGAACTTGGAACAAATGTCTGTAATCCAACCAAGTAAAAATGACAACTGCATTCTCAAACAGTGCCTGTGGTCCAAAGACAATACTTTTTAAATAATACTTTTCAATGAAATTCATTGCTCTATCTCTATAACGTAATTGTATTTAATACATGGGTAAACTGAGGTACAGTTTGAAATATTTTATCCTGAGATCAAAAAGCGGAACAGGCTTCCTATCCATGTTACTTTGATATTCTTTCTTTGTATAATGAAACTTCAGTTTTATTGTTCACTTGAGATGACAGATAAAACAGGAGAAAATGAATTCTATGTGGCAACGTTTTTCACCGTTACATTGAAGTTTCATAACTTCAAGCTTCTCTGCTTATTTACATGGGCATGTATGCCATTCACCTGTTGACTAAATTAAAATGAGAGGAACATATTGTTATTGTTATACATGCCCTAAAGAAAATATTTGCATCTCATCAACTCCAATTATTTTAAATTAGCTGGGTAAGACACTACATATTTTAAGTACAAAGTGTAAGGAGATGTCTGACATTAGTAGGGGTTCAGGAAGATTCAGTTAGTCTAAAACACCAGCTAATCTCAAATCAGCTCTTACATATGAGGATGCACTGTGTAACAATTCAAGTGTAATACTCAAACCTTTCTTAACATATAGAAAAATCAGTGTGATCCCTTGCAGGACTAGAAGTCTGGAGTGACTACATGATGTTTAATAGGAATTTCCATGGTGAGAGAGAGAAGACTTTCAGGCATGATTGCTTATTCTTCAATTACTTCTTTCTTGATGTCCCTGAGACGAGAATCAGAGTTGCCCTCTTGGACAACTCTTCCCACTGTACTATACATTTCCAATATGGAAGTACTCAGAATAAGCATTAAAGTCTCTTTCCTTAGCCTTTGTCAGTGTATACTAAACTAAAATAAACTAAAACAATTAGCACAATTCCTTTGCTCCTGCAGTTGGGCAAAAATGTTACTTGGCACCAGTCTCATGGATATGAAGCCAAATTTTGCCAGATCTAAAGGTTGGGGGCACTGCAATTGTAGAAACTGGGAAAGCCCTTTCAGTAAAAATGTACTCCAACGTATTCTATATAGCACTTGAAGCACACGTTTTCACAAAAGTATATAATTTTCTGCAGTATTATCTTTTCTCAAGCCTTTTATTCAGTATTTTTGATCCCTTTTTCTTCTCCAAGTAGTGATATTTAGTGTTATTCAAAAATGCTGTTCTCAGTTTCACATCTATAAATCAATATAGAAGAACAAGAAACAAAAGTAAAGCATATCTTTACTGGCAGATATTTCAAGTCCGGTTTACAATAAGGCCAACTATGGTAAGAAATGTTTACCTGCTCTAAGACTGACGGATGTTGGTTCATTTAAAATAGTCTGGTTTTATAGACTGCTGACTTGCAGTGATTGGTAAAATATGCAAAAGTCTAAAATTGTACTAATAATTTTATGACTTTTGAGGAGGTATCATTAGGCCAGCCTTCACTGGTTTCTAACTGTCTCTCTCTTTATTCTGTAATTCAAATTATAGCAACTATAGCCAGAATCCAAGATTTAAATACATATAGTCTTAGCTCATCTGAATTTTGTACTGTGCAAGTACACAATTACCCCTTATCATAAATTCAGTTGTAGCTCACTAGAGCATGATCTACTGAGAAATTATACTGTGGCCATATCACTCATTTTACTACATATCTCATATTAGACTGAGAAATGAAAGCAGTAGTAAAATAATGTATCAAGTCAGGCACCTGTCATAAATTCATTACTATAAAAAAAAATAATATAAAATATAATTAAATTAAATACCTCCCCCCGCAAGCTTCACTGCAATTAAGACATAACGGGTCCGATTCTGACTTATGTCATGTGCCAGCCAGGAGTAACTCTGGGAGCCATACACTACTATGAAACTGATGCAAATGAGAAAAGAATCAGATCTATTGTTGATGGAACAGAATGCTGTCACCAAAGAAAGGTCTCCCACTGCTAGACAAATGTTAAGGCAAAGCTAAGACACTTATTAGCAAAGGAGGCAACATTTATTTTGGAACAATGGCTTAATTTGGGTTTCATGCCATGACTGATGTGGATGTCACCATTTAATCAGATGTATGAGTGCAGCCAAACGATGGGTTTTGGTTTTTTGCCATCAACGAGTGAAAAGATTCCAACTTTCAGGACATTGCAACCTATCAGAAAATGCCCAACCATAGGCAAGAAAGGATGTGTGAATAGGAAGTTGTAACTTGTCACCTTCTGCTAAATAGAGTTGCTTCCTCCTGTACTAATATATTTCACGGTCCTCAGGAAAAACCCTTCTGTCCATGCTTTTGGTTGTCACAAAAATCAGACTCCTCTCATTACCTCTTGCTAGTCTGGAACTGGGAGACACTGAAAAGCTGAAGTAGCTGATATCCATTTCCTTTGGAATAATAATACACTGAAATTAATTTGAGAGTGATCTTCAACTTGCTCTGTGGGAGGGTACATGGCCTGGATATGCCAGTACTTATAAGAAACCGATCTACAGAATGTCTTTGGAAAGGTGCTGCTGTGCTTAAAGTAACAAGACACTTTCCAGTGATGGTAGCAAATCCTTTTTGTTGACTGTAAAATCATAACTGAAGAAATACTTGTTTGCTACTGCTGTTATCTGAACCCCACACTGGACATCTGTATGACATCGCTATAATCGGCATCCGGAATGAGAATATGAAATAGGTGTAGTCTAAACACAGGGAAAAAAAAGGAAAAAAAAAAGAAACGCATCATAGACCCTGAAACTGGGTAAATAGGAAGGAAATTCTGACATAGATATCTGAGCTAGCAGTGCCACCTAGCCTGTGCTCCGGAATTGTAGTGCAGCTCCTTCAAACGTTTCGGGGATGCTTTCCTGTTTGTTCAATCATTTTTTAAAGTATAATTACCAGAGTGCTTATGTTTTGCAGTTAATGCTGTCAAGCCTTTTGAACTAATTGGTCTTTAACAGAAAATTTTACTGAAAATTAGCACATCTTTTAATAACATTGCTTTAACTTTAATAGCACTTTGCCTTTCATTTATAATTACTCTAAAATTGTCATTTTCCAAGTCATATCTGCCATTTTTTTGTGTTTCCTAGTGGGTTTATATGGATTTCTTTTAAGACGGCTCCTCCTCCACTGCATGCAGTTTTTAACAGCACTTTCAGACAAATATTTTAACTTGTTTTTCTTTTTCAGCTGGAGGAATTCTGTTGAATTAATAATATATATCCAAACCTGAGGAACGACTGAGCTAACGCCAGTACTTATACCAATAATAAAAGGGCCTTTGAGACAGAATCAACAGCAAAAAAGAAATAACAACATTTCACAGTTTGAAAATCTATTGATTCTCAAAATATTGTCCAAACTTTAAAGAAGTTTGGGACAGTTTAGGTTGCAAGATGCTGCTTGCTAATCCCCTGAACAGACTTGCACAAAAAATAGCCTTGTGTTTCAGAATCTATATATCATGGATTGAACAGTTTCTTTTCTGTATAAATAAGACTGTGAAGATCCCCGAGGGAGAACTCTTGACTAAGGGATATACTGAAAAGTTATTTTTAACTGATTTTAACTATTGTCTTCCATTCTGTACTTTCATTTATACAGAGAAGATGTAGAATTTAGTACTATAGAACAAAAAATCAAGACCTAAAGTTCTAGCGCAAGGAAATGAATTGTAGGGTATCAAATGTTAAATGGTATAATCTGGCCCTGGAGATCGTTGCCTCTAACGGCACCACTCCGACAGTACAGCCAGGCTATGGTCAGCGCTATGCACGGGAGGGATACCAACCTGCCAGAACTTCTGTGGTTCTCATAGCTTCAGCCCCAAAAGGAATAACAGAGAAGCTCTCAGGTCAAAGAACTTCTGTGGTTCTCATAGCTTCAGCCCTAAAAGGAACAACAGAGAAGCTCTGGCTCTCAGGTCAGCTGTTCAAACCTTTGAAGGTACCATGTCTTGATAAAAGTGGTTTCCTTGTACACGCAAGATTTTCTGGAATAACTATCTCGGCAAGACCCAGAAAAAAAAGTAATTCTCCTCAAAAATTTGCTTCTCTTAAGATATTCTGTGTCATGTGACTTTTTTTATAGCTGAAGAGAAACTTTTTACAAAACATCCACATTATCTAAAAGGTGCCCCCAACTCCTTGTTTTTTAGCCACATTCAATTTGGTGCTGAGAATGTGCTTTGCTCTTCAGGAGCAGCGCCACCGTGAGAGTGACAGGCTACATGCATTCTTTCCCTGGGTTTGCATATGCTATGACAAAACAAATATTAATATATCATTCAAGTGTCTGATGGCAGTAGATGTCTCTTCAAAGACATAATAATGATTAGCTGGCACGATTTAACAATAGCCACTGCCACACTTAAAACATGAACCATGCTTCCAGTCTTCGCACACAGTACAATAATGTACTTCAACTGAAGCCTGGAGAGACCACTGTTACCAACTCATCAAAAAGACAATGCAGTTTTTGAGCTCGTTATTGTCTTCTGAGCAATGAGCTTCGAACTACTACACTGTGAATCACAGGCTTGTGAAATATATTGCCTTTGCTGCAGAAGACAAACCGCGTGTAGATAGCCTGTAGATAGCATTTTGAAAAGTAAACTTCATCAAGCCTTTTATCTTTGAAATAAGAAAATAACAGACAATTTCAAATTTAAAATATCTAATACTGTCATCTTATAGGAAATAACACTAAACTAGCAGAACGCAATGTCCTTCAGCATTCAGATGTGAACTGGAAAGTGATAACACATTTTCTAATCTGTGATTTGTGAGTACGGTTTAGTCTACTACTTCTATAATAATAAAATTATATAAAAGAAAACATTAATTTAACATGGATTAAAACTGTTTAATTGTTATTATTCAATAACTGATACTTTAGCAAATTATTTTAAAGATATTTTGTACCTCTTTTTCCATATACATAAATCTATATGTATGTTTCACATTACCCACAGGTCAGAAAGAATACTGTATGCATGGATATTATTCCACTTTCTAACCTTTCTTACACCTGTTTTACTACAAAAACAGAGCACTACTGCGAGAAGAGATTCATTCTTAATATAGCAGTTCATGCATTGTACATTTGTATGGTAGCCCATATGAGGAATTTTCTTTCCAGAGATATCAACAGAGATCATAAAAATTCTATAAAAATTAAGCAATAAAAAACTGTGAATTACTAAGTGGATTGAACAATGAACTATATCCTTGTCTCAAAGTGAGCTGGCACAGGCCAGCACGGTGTGAATTATTTCCTTCTTACAGAATGTCTGTGCAATTAATAGGATGAAAGCACGACTGCAGATCTCACAAAACAGTTAGGACTTTGGGTGCAGTTTGCAGTACTGGCTTGAAGTTAGGCAGAATAAATAAATGTTGGTCCCTAAAACCAAGTTTACTCTAGAAAAACAAAAGAGATAATATACTGCAAGTAGATTAATTTGTGTGAGAAACCCTCTTTTCCTTGGAAAAGAAGTGAAAGGAACATACATCCTTCCCATGAGAATAGGGATAGTAAAGGGAAAACATCTCACACATCTTCCACTGTCTGAAGGGTCAGGACGAATCGTACTTTTCCAACTCTTTACTGGGTCTTTGAAGAATAAAAGAGAAAATAATGCTGCCACCGATCAGCAAAGTGGTGAAAGAAAAGACAGGATGGTGAACAATTCTAACTGACTGAATCCTTGGCTTGTCTTCTTGATTAGTATTTTTTCTAAGTTAGAATTTTCTACTCTTGTTATCACATTTACTTCTCTGGCTTCAGGCTGCGCTGTCCCTGACGTATAATATGACCACTTAGATGTTAAAATGTTTGAAAAAAAGACTCTGTTGAGAAAGAAATTGCAGAAATGGAGGGGTACGTTGTCAAAAACTAAAAGTTAATAAAAACTAGTAATGACTAAAAATATTGTGAGGATTATATGATAAACTCCAGGTAAAATTTCTGAACGGTCATGTTCCACATACTTCTTATTGCCTCACTATTATCTACGTGATACAAGAAAGCAATGGGGTCCACAACATTTCACTCTCTTTTTGTGCTGATGCAGTGGCAATAAGAAGAATTAACCCTAATTTTTCTAAGATTCTGGAATTGATATCCTGAACAATTCATTCAGGTACATTGATTTAGATAATAATATGAGTAGATAAACAGTTCTGAGTATAACAATTTCGAACCTTCATAGGAAATTATTTCCATTTGTAATGTGAAAATGTTAAATATTTTATACATAGAGATTTTAATTAGAGAAGGTACAGAGTTTAAGTGTGCTTGTTTAGGCTTTCTTAATTTGTCACATCTGCAAAATATGGCCAAGAACTTACAAAAAAAGTCTTTTTTCAGTTTATTGCAGAGTCCTAGGCTACATTAGAATAAAATTTTATCAGTGTAGACTGATATTATTCATCTGTGGATGGAACATATGAGGAATATAGCAGGGAATAAAAATATGAAATACAGATACATAAATATGAAATACGAATAAAATATCAAATAATAAAGAGCACTGTGATATTTTTTCTTAAAAGCAAAAAGCTTCAGTCTGAGTTTAGGTGAAGGTCAGACTGGGTTCCTTTAAGGAAATCCGTTTGCTTGTTTCTAATATGACGTGTGGTTTACAACAGATGATTCCCAGTACTATGGAACTTTATTCCATGGGGAGCTCAGAAAGCCTATGCACAGATTTTAAAAAGACTGTGTCCCCACTAGATCTAGCAGAGCTTAAGGTCCCTCTGAAAGAAGTGCAGTTCACACAGAGGAAGACGGGACTGAGAACCTAACCAATATGAAGCAAGGGAGGATGAAAAGGAGTATGACCAAGGTATTTGCTTCAAAATTGTACTACGGCTGCAAACCAAAACCCCTCTTGCAGACATAACCAAAGGCCACCATCTGTAGTTTCTGGCATGCACTTATGTTTTGATTCACAAGACAACTCATGTGAAAAAGAGATGATGACCTCTCTTCACACAAGTAGAGTTCGCATGATGTGTACAGTGGTTTTTGTACAGTTCTGTCAGTGTCCCCTAGCACTCATGCTCAGAGCATTGCTTGTGGCTACAGGAAACTAAAAGCTTAAAACACAGTTGATGCTGCCTGACATGAACGGTGAGCATAGGGACTGACACACTGAATTTGGGTCTGCGTTTCAGGGGGGAGATAAAACATTTTTTTGAAAATATTATCCTTAAAGCCTGACATGAGACTCTTCGCTTTTGAAATTGTGTACTAATGGTAGTCCTAAATTTCTCAGTTGTTTTAAGGTCTCTGAGTCCAACTAGAAAATAACTTAGTCTTTTGACATCTAAGAGAAAAGCTTCTTCTCCTGATTACCTGTGGAAAAAGGACTATGCTTTCATACTCTTTCACAATATGTCTGATGGAAGGGAATGAAAAAAGTTTTGTTTGCTTACTGCGCTCATGAGAGAGTCCAGCACACTGACAGCAAATGCAGTTCCACATGCAAAGGGCTGCGTAAGATACAGTTCTGTGTCTGGATCATCATCATCATCTTGGTCCAAGAACTGAACATTTGAATCATTTACTGAAAATAATAATAATAACAAAATCATAAGGTGCCTCTGGGTCACCAGCATGAGACCGCACACATCACACAGTCAGAAAGAAAAAGAAACAGCATATGTCTGGAAACACAGACTTGTGTCTTTGACGTCACTGAAAATGAAATCAAGATGGATGTGAAAATGTGCATTTAAAAATCTGTCGATCATTCTTGTAAGAGGTGACTCTCTTGCTCTTGAGACGTGACTATCCCTTTGCTGTAAAAGTAGCTTTGTGGTACCATCTGCCTGCACTCAAAATGAGATGATGGTCTTTTACATATTGAGACAATCTTGGTATTGGCCGGGTACAGTGGCTAAGGCTGTATGTGTGTACAGTGAAACGTTATCACCAGATACCAAGCCAGAACCCCGTTGTAAAATAAAGGCTGTCCATAAAACTCTGATATAGCCCACAGGCATCTGTTAGATGTGCTGCTGTGATTCTTACTGGAGTGGTGTTAATGCACTTACTGCACAAAAGAGGATAAACTGTCCCTTTAACATGCGTCTGTCTGAATGAATGAGCAATACCCCAGCTATTCTCTTGCAGCACTGCCTTTTGTTCAAATATTTGTCTCCATAACTTCACCTCCTAAGCCACAGATTCTATATTAGCCAGTGTGGAAAAGAATCTACATCAGGCTGTTTTAAAGAAAAAGACCAAATAAAATAATATTTGTCATTTAGACTTTTTCTGGCATTTCATTGTCCCAGTTAAGCTCTCTGCCTCCACCTCATTCCCCTAAAAATAGTTGTTTCCTTGAGATCAGTGTATCAAGTGGATCATATTTCATTAAATATTTCATTTCCATATTAGTCCTCCTCAGGCATGAAAGCACAGACTGCTTAGCTATGCCATTGAAATACCCTTTAACTTACTAAATGACAAATTAATTTCAGTTCCCATGCAAGGAAGTGAAATTAAAAACTTTCTCAGAGTTTGAAACTGCACACATTGACTATGTGTCTATTCCCCATATGAACACACGTCCCGAGCCAACCCAGCGAGCTTGGAAAACAACAGCAGAGCTGCTGTTATCTTTATCAGGTTTCAGCTCTGGACTTCTTGGGTTAGAAATTCTTCTGCCTGTTATTTGGATCTTCCTTCCTATATAGTTTCATTTTCCATCCACTCCATTTCCAACCTGTATATACTACTGTGCTTGCCATGCTTACCTAAGAAAACATGAATAACTATAGATAAAGTCTCACGATAGCTGTCTAAAAGAGATGAGAATTGCTATCCTCCATTAGAGCCCTGTTGAGCCAGTACTTGGCCGCAATCATTCAGTCAGGACCTGAGATGAAACGGGATTTAAAATTCCTGACTTCTCACTCCCTGATGTAACCATGAAAACATAACACCTCAGCATTGTAAATGGAGAAGTGTTCTGCCCTGGCAGTCAGAAGAATTTCATCCTAGCAAACACCAATATCCACAACACTCCTTTCTTGTACAATGGCTATCAATTTATTTTCTAGATTCTTGAGCAAAATAGTATTTGAAAGGCTGACATATCATTTCAAAATGTACTTTTTGAAGAGCGTGTGCCTTAGTTTAATTTGCTAGCTGAGAGTAGGCACTATTGAGAGTGGCATTCTTTTTCCACTTACATCTGGCAGACTAATACCTGACTTTGACACCAGCTTGCTAGCCAGGAGTAGTGTCAGTTTCCAAGGTACTACAAATCTAATGTGAATCCTGCAAGTGCAGCTTTATCCTCAATATTTTTATCTGCCTGATGGAAGTTAGCACACTAGGATTTCTACGAAAGGTCTCCGGGCTAGGTGAGGTAGGTTGGAATGTGCTGTGCTGCGCCATAGGAAATGCTCATCAAACGCTGCTCACAAAAGCTGGCGAGAGCTGCCTTTATGGAGAGGGAGCAACACAGGAGCTTGGCTGCTTTTTAGCAGCTCCAGAACCTCCGCTTCTGAGAAAAGGCTTATTCCCCAAAATAAAGAAACAAATAGCTTAAGGGAAAGTACGATGCTGGGGTTTCTTTTCTGGTATCTTTTACTTCTTCTTGGACTTCCTGTGAGAACTGCTAAGGCATGTCCACCAAATTGACAATAGGCTGAAATAACAAAAAAAAGAAAAAAGAAAAAAAAAAAAAAAGGGAAAAGAGAGAGACAAAGGGAGG